GCAATTGCTGGCATTGTTATTGATGTTGCCGCCCGCAGGCTCATTATATTTATTTATTTATATAAAGCGATTTGTTTGGTTCGGTTTTATTTTTATGGTGCAGGTTGAAATGTTTTGACCAGCAAAGCCATAAAATGTGCATGGCAAATTTTACAATGGAGCCTCGTAAAATTTTACGTAAATTGCCAAAGCGTCAAATGTGCTGTTGCTAAATAAAAATGTCTGTGTGTGTATAGGGAGAGATAGAGAGAGAGAAGGGGGAGGGTAGGCTGGTATGTTCAAGTTAAGAATGGGCGGGCAAAACTGTTTGTGGTTGAAGGCAGTTAGCCAAATAAATGTACAACTAGATAAACAAGCCGTTGAAACGGCTTCTAGCTAGAGTCGAGCACTCGCACACACACACATATACATACACAACTACTGGCGCAAGTAATGTGCGGCTCAGCCTAAAAGTAGGCAACAAAAACGCACGCAGCTCCGGGCCGCATTCACTTTGGCCTTCCCCTTTATCAACAGCTGACTCCCTGTTTGCTTTACATTTTATAGTATTACCTTACTTGTGTGTGTGTGTGTGTGTGTGTGTGTGTGTGTGTGTGTGTATGGATATGTGTGAGTATGGTGTTACAGCCTTGCTGAGTATATTATAAATTTGTCTCAAAATATGGGCACCCATAAAAGTGTTAAATATGGTCAACCTTACGCCAGAGCAAACTTATCTACCGATTTTCTAATTATAGCGGCAGATGTATAGAAATGTATATAAATATTTATATGTGTATGTGGGGCTCTCCACATTCAACGGACTCATCTGGCAACCCTATATCTTTTGACAAAGACGGGCTCCATACGCCGTACAGGCAGAAGGGCGGGCATTGGAGAGATATTATATTCAAAAAGTGGTGTAATCTATCTGTATAAAATAAAAGGATTATTATGTTTTTTCTTTGATTTAAAAAAAAGCATTGGTCCGTCGAACATGGGAAGTCTTACAGGGTTTCTATTTGGATCCGTCGAATATGGGCAACCTTGTAGGGCTGCCAGATGGATTCGTCGAAAATGGAACGCCAGTATGTACATATATTTATATATATGCTATATATGTATATGCTACTATAAGATATATGAATCTATATGTGTATGTACGCAAGATTTTATGTATAGAGGAATGCATTACATGTATGTACGCATGCCTTTATGCATATAGCATTTATCTTATCTGTGTATTCATGTATATGCATTCATATATCTAGATACATACATATTATTGCATTCTCTGTAATGTAGTTTAATATACGGCATGCCAATCATGCTCTCTTTCACGCATATACACACATACAGAAATGCATATATGTATGTATGTGTGTGCGTGTGCATGTGGTTGACCAATATTCTGAGCCTAAGCATTTCGCACTTTCACTTAGGACATTTGGTTGCATTAGTTGTGCATTGTGGCTGCAGCCTATGAATAAGCTGCCAATTAGATTATGTAATACAAACATACACACACACACACACACACACACACACACACACACACACACACACACACACGCATACATACATCGGCAGGCATCAAATATTTTTAATTAACAATTTGCTGTGTGGGCCAACAAATATAGCAGCGACCTTATTTAATCAACTAACCGCAATCACACACACACACACACGCACACACATGTATATACCATGAATGCATATTCAGATGTATTGGTATCCATGTGTGTGCGTTTCAATTTTTAAGTGTAATGCTTGTTTTCTTATATTTGTGGCGAAAATTTGCTTAATTAAAAATAACAAGCACCAAGAACAGCAAAGCCAAATACAACAAAAGCAAAAGCCCAACAATAGCAACAACAACAATAACAGTAACAACAATAACAACAACAGCAACAACAAGAACAACGCAAACCGCAGAGCTACAAGCAAAACTTTGTTTAATGGTTAGTTAAGCGTTTAATTTGCAGAGGGTCTTGGTGCCCTTCTCATGTTTAGGGGAATCCAGAGTGACAGTTGCCAGTGGGGCGGGGCAGCGAATGAGGGGAGGGTGGTGGTGGGGCAGGTTGATTGGGCCCATTGTCTGTGCAGTCAATGTCGGCGACTTTTCAAAAGCAAACATAAGCCTCTTGTATGAGCAGCCACTGTACGACTCTAACTAACGAAACCCAAACGAGGGTATATGAGATGATATAGGGCCCAAGTAGTAGTAGTAGGAGCAGCAGCAGTAGGTCAATAGCATTACCAATCCATCAAATAAACAGCTGGGCAGAATAGCTGTATTCAAGACGAGCGCATCCCTGGCCTACCCTCTATTATAGGGTATTTTGGCTTCGTTCATGCTCAACCTACAGTTTGTAACTTTTTGGCTTGTTGAAAAGCTGATCCCTGTGGCTTTCTGGCAGCCTCTTAAGTTTTCTTTTAATGTAATTTTGTTTGTTGTGAGTGGCGTTTGTTGTTGCTTTAGGACTTTTTCGCATCGATTTGAGCGGTGAGGCGAGGCCAAGTACTAAGAGCCAGATATAGAAGAGACTGGCTAAAAGTATCTCCAATGAGTTCATGTGGGTTGGAGTTGGATAAGTTGTATTATCAATTCAACTGGAGCCAAGTATCTATAGATTCAAATTTGCAATCGAATTGATAGGTTGCTTGAAGCTCTGATCGAAACTAATTTCGATTTCGAGCAATGAAGTTTCAGTCGTTGCTAACCAATCGACATGATATGGCAGCAACTGTAGCTATTTGTTGCTGTTGCTATTGTTGTTGTTGGCAAATGGAAATCGTGTTGGGCCAATGGCATAATCGGCTTAAAATTGGCGCACACTAAAATAATTTCTGTGTTAATTTTATTTAAAACGTCAAAAGCCGTCGCTGCCGTTGCAAAACTTTTGGCCGGCGCGCCGACGGCAAACGTCAGGCTAATGCCAATTAGACGAGAATGTATAGAGCCAGCCATGGCTGCTAAAAGAGTGAGCGAGGCAGAGAGCGTGAGCGAGTGGGAGTGAGCTTGGCTGAGATGCGACCGCAAAACATTTGGCGATTAGCCACGCAGATTATGCGATTCCCTTCAATTCTTGACGCATCTAAATTAAAAACAAAAACATGTAAAAACGGTGCGGGCAGGCGCTACCGACTGCAGAATACTTAATCAAGGTCAAAGCCTAGCCAGCTCAGTGTTTCGATTTGCCACGCCTCCAAATGGCGTTTGGCTAAGCATTAGACGAGTACTATATAGCCAAAATTTATACCCCGTTAAATCGAAAATCGCAAAAAAACGAAAAAATTCGATCCCCGAAAAATTCGTTCTCGATAATTCTCGAATTTCTGTGTAAATCGGAAAAAAATGATCCACTGGCCATATCGAATTATAGGGATTAAAATTAAGGATTATAGAGTTTTTCCCGTTAGATATATACTGAAAAAAAGCCTTTGAGAAGGAGCGTACAATTTCTTTATTATTGCAGGCCAACATGATATACCCGCCATATGTTAATCAAGTTCCTAGCCCACAAACGGTCAGCGGGTTCTTGCACAGTACCAATATACTCTTTTCACTCTTGGAATGGGTATACCAAATCTGAAATTCTGAATGGGGAAAAACAGAAATAATAAGGCACACTTAAGACGGATGTGATTGACAGGCCGCGGGCCGTGGGTGTTGCTATATATCTAGATGGAAAGACAATCTAAATAAGTTTTTGCGTTTAGTCATTATTCAATTAAAATTTACAGCGTCAGGCACGGAAGGGGCGGGGCCGTGGAGAGGGAGCGTGGGCGCCATGTCCTTGTAGGTTTTTTCTTATAATGTAATATAATTTGCCGCAGGCATCAGAAATGTTATTGGCCGACAAAAGAGGATGCTGCTTTGTGTTGATGTTAATGTCGATGGGGATCCTGCTGATAAGAGAACGTTAAAGACGCTGTTAAATGACAGCAGCAACAGCAGCAGCAGCAGCAGCAGGAGTACAGTAAATGTCTTTGCTTGACGGCACAACAATGTTCGAAACAAGCTTCATGTTGCTGCTGGGCAGCTGAAGTTTTTGGCTCTGTCTGGCATGTTTACTGCGCGCAGCCAAGTAGGACTCGTTCGCTCAGTGTCTGAAGTTGTTGTTTTGTGCAAGTTTTATAGGCCGGCAGTGGCAAAAATTTAACTTTTTAATTAAAGCCATGCAATTGTTGCGAACGCCTTTGCCGCCCAGACATGCGCCAGACAATAGCCGTCATACAATGCAACGAGAAAGGCAGCAGCAGCAGCAGCAGCAACAGCAACAGCAACGGCCAGCAGCAACAATAAAAGCAACAGCGACAACATCGCTTATAATTTAGCGAAAAAAAGGGAGAATTGTGCCAAGCTGGCAGCGCAACAGGCAAACTTGACACAAAAACGAAGACGAGCGCAAAAAGAGCGCAAAAATGTGCATTGAAAAAGGGGGAGAATGAAGCTAACACGGCGAGAAAAAAAGTCTCTTTGGCATGAAGAATTGTTAATGCTCTCGCCATACGGCTTTGTGCCAAGTCGAAATAGGGCAAAGACTGATGCAGGAGTTATAGAAAGTGGCGTGATAGAAAGTGGTTGAGCATAAAGCCAAATGTACATTCATGAGAATTACATAGAAGAGCGCATTAATATACATATATATTAATACACATATTTTCAAATTATTAATAAAGAAACAGAGTCAAAGAACACAGCAAAGACCCAAAGTATAACACCCATTAATGAGAATTGCATAGAAGAGCATTAAAAAAATATAAATTTAGATATGTACATATAAATAAAATATAAATATAGATATATATATCGGGGCGTACTGATACGACACATATATGTATATGTGATCATATTATCTGTCATTAAAAAGCAAGTCATTAAAAAATAAAATTTCTACCGAGTAGGCTTAGACATATATCGAACTGAGGCAGTAGGAAACAGGAATACATGAGCTCAGTTTCATTCAGCATATCAAGCTGAAAACAGCTGTAAAAATTTATAAAAAAAAATCAAAATCAAAAAGGGAAACAGAAATTATTTTATATTCTGATAGGGACAAAAACAAGAAAATGTCTCATAATGATGAAGCTGAATCTATTTCTGAAAATGAAGCTGACGATGAAGCTGAATCAGACACCGATACAGTCAAAGATGTAAAGTCGCGTAAACCAAATACCAAACATAAAGGAATTAAGGGCGATAAGAAAAAGAAAGGTAAAGACAGCAAAGAAACTGCTCAGCCAGGTGGGAGCTTTATAGGGTCCTGTGTGAGTGACATTATCACGGTTACATTTGAAAAGAAGTACGATGAAAAAGTCCTGGAAGCCAAGTCAAGTAAGTCGCCATAGAGGAACACACTAATTAATTTGTAGTGCATAAAATCATTTTAAATCTTTAGAAAGCAAACAAAGTCTTCAAGGAAGTGTCAAATCTTTAAGCGTTGCTGATGAAAAAATAGGTAAGTCGTTCGAATACGTAAAATCAATATATAATTGATGAATTCGTCCAGAAGTCTTGGGAACCAAACAGAGTCAAGTGCGTACCGATTCTCTAGGCGATGATTCCAAAAAAAAGGGTAAGACGCCATGCATTTGAATAACAAAAGTGAATTTATTATAGATATAGATGAATTTCAATTAGATACTTTAAGAAGCAAACATAGCCTTCGGCGAAGTCACGAATCCTTACGTCAGGATTCCCAAGACGATGATTCCAAAAAGAAAGGTAAGAGAGCGTTCATCCCAATACATGGACAGTTGTTAATAGACGAGATCAATTAGGTATTATAAAAAGCAAACATAGCTTTCGACGAAGCCACGAGTCTTTGGCTCATGAATCCCAAGACGATGACTCCGAAGAGAAAGGTAAGACAACATCCATTGGAATATAGAATCAACTTATATAGACAAACTCCATTAGAAATGATAAAAAGTGAACATAGTCTTAAACGAAGCCACGCATCGTTACGTCATAAATCCCAAGACGATTCCGAAAAGAAAGGTAAGACAACATCCATCAGAATATCGAATCAATTTCTAATAGATGAAATCAATTAGGTGTTATAGAAAGCAAACAAAGTCTTCAACGAAGCCACGCATCGTTACGTCATGAATCCCAAGACGGTTCTGAAAAGAAAGGTAAGACAACATCCATTAGAATACGGAATCAACTTATATAGACGAAATCCATTAGAAATGATACAAAGTAAACATAGTCTTCAACGAAGCCACTCATCTTTACGTCATGAGTCCCAAGACGATCCCGAAAAGAAAGGTAAGTCCACGTTCATCAGAGTACAGAACTAACTTACAATAGATAAGATCCATTAGAAATCATAAAAAGCAAACATAGTCTTAGACGAAGCGGCGCATCTTTACGTCATGAATCTCTAGACGGTGGTGAGGATAATAAGGGTAAGTCGACATTTGCGAGAATATAAGGTATTATAAAATTTTTTAATGGATAAAATCATTTAGAGCTTATAAAATATAAACCGAGTGCTCTAGTATGTGAGGCTTCTCAAGACGGTGAGTTTAGTCAAATAGGTAAGACGATATCCATCGGAATACAAAGTCAATGTGTAATGGATGATAACATTTTGAATCTTTAGAAAGCACGCGTAGTTTTTCAGAAATTGACGAATATGCAAGCGATACAAGCGATCACAATGGTAAGTCGTTATAATACGAAAATCTAATTTGCAATGCATGTGTGCACCGATTCTCTAGGCTATGATTCTATAACCGAAGCTGACATTGGTAAGTCGAAATAAGTGAGAAGATACCAAATAAGGGTGGTTCAGGGCACTGCCTGACCAAAAAATATCCCAGTCTCTGTTAAGAGCTGAAATTTTCTAATCATTATACGTTTTTTTTATACATACATACATACATCAGAAGCTCGCACACACACTCGCAGATACATATAAGCACGCGCTCTGTTGACTGCGGTATGAGCTTTTTTATGAAAATTAATTCCTTAATAACTTTTGTGCTAGAAAAACTTTCTAAAGCAAATTTTCAGGTTATGATAATGAGATTAATGTGCGTGTATTTGCTAATCCACAAATCTTTAGTGCTTGAAATACAGACCATTAATCGGTAATCATTATAAAGACCTTCACTGCTAGTTCTTACGGTATATAAGTTATATTTTGAAAATCGGACAGACGAACGAACGGCCGAACATGACTAAATCGACTCAGCTCGACATCCTCCTGATCAATTATATCTATAATATAAAATCTGCCCCGCCTCCTTTATGACTGTTACATACATTTTCACAAAACAATACACTGAAATTCCATTTTCAATGGGTTCTGGGTATAAGTCAATTTGTAATGAATGAAATTGATTAGGAATTTTAGAGATCCAAGGAAGTAATGAATCCTTAAGTGAAAGTGATGATAACAAAGGTAAGAAAATAAAAATTGTAAATTTTTGATGGATGTAACCGATTCGATATTTTAGAAAGTAGTCATACGCTTCGTGGAGGAATCAGCTCTGTTAGTGAAGTGAAAAGTAAGACTAGTAAGTCGATTTAAGTGAGAACACAAACTGTCAATTTTTAATGGATGAAACCGTTTTCAAATTTTAGAAAGCAAGCAGAGTGTTCAAGCATGTGATAGTGCCCAAGGTGATGCTACCAATAAGACAGGTAAGAAGACATTAATGATAGCACGATACTAATCTATACGAGATGAATAAATTTGAAATTTTAGAAAGCAAACTCACTATTGAAGCTAGTAGCGATTCGTCAAGTGATACTGACTCGGGTAAGTTGATATAAGTGAATTTATAAAAAATCAGTCACACGAGTTCTTCAATTATCGTTTAGACTCGTTAGAAAGCAAGCAGAGTGTTATACTATGTAAGGCTTACAAAGGTGATGTCACCGTTAGAAATGGTAAGAAGACATCAATGACAATAAAAACAATCTAATCTGTAATATATGACACAATTTTGAAGCTCTGGAACACAAATTGATCTTGCAAAGTGATTCCTCAAGCGAAAGTGACGATAACGAAGGTAAGAGAATAAAAATAGCCAATTTGTAATAGATAAACCCGATTTTCAATTTCAGAAAGTAGTCATACGCTTCGTGCAGTATCCAATTCTGTTAGTGATGAGAAAAGTAAGACAGGTAAGTCGACTTAAGTGAGAATACAAAAAGCTAATTTGTAATCTATGATATCGCATTGAAGTTTCAGAAATCAAACCGAGTGCTCCAGAATGGGAGGAGTCCCAAGCCGATTTTACTTATAGAAATGGTAAGAATATATCAAAAGGGAAGTTCATAATAAATAAATCACTTTGAAATTTTAGAAACTAACCGTTGTCTTGGAGCAGGTGCTCATTATTTAACCGATTCTGATAGTAGCTCAAGTAAGTCGATATGATAATATAAAATCAATAGAAAATAGATCAAATCTTTTCGAAATTGTAGAATGTGCGTCACATAGGGCTCAAAGAAGGAACCACTGTGTATGTGGTCTTACTTATCTTAATGGTAAGAAGACATCAATTTATGATAATAACACACAAACAAAAAATCACACATTTTACAATTTTAGCAAATAAGCCTTATGCTGGAGCTCCCAAAAATTCTTTAGGCAATGACAGCAGCTCAGGTAAGTCGACACAAGAGAGAATCGAAAATGTCTAATTGGAAAAGATTGAATTCCTTTTGAAATTCTAGACTGTGCCTTACGTAGTTATCGAGGATATGACCATTCTCTGGGCGATGCTATTCACAAACGAGGTAAGACATCAATGGAAATGCAAAAGACAATTTACAACAAATCAACCGTTTTGAATTTTTAGAATATTTGCAACATACTCTTCGGGCAACTAAGCATTATCCAAAACATCAGCCCGAAATCAAAAGTAAGTCGATATCAAGTGATAACGATTGTCAATTAATAGCCAATGATTCGATTTGATACTCTAGAAACTCCTCAACCGAGTTCCGATAACGATGACGATAAGGAGTGTTCAGGCATTAAACACCTTATAAAGTACGTCACGCAGATTGTGGTTGCAGAAATCGTGCGCGGCGCTAAGGAAGATTCAGGTGCTGACGATGTTGACGAATTGAGCAAAAAAATATCTAGCTCTGTTATCGATGAGGTCGTTGAAGCTACAGTTAAAAATCTAAATTTTGACAAGATAACAGATGAGACTATGGATGCCTTGAAAAAAATTGTAAGCGCGAATGTACTTTTAGAAAAGGTTATATCGATGAGTGCAATACGAGCGATTGGCGCTATGGATGCAACGGAGGAAGAGTTAGATATCATGAGATATAAGTTTTTCAAATCTGAGTTCTTACAAAAGAAAAGAAAGCAAAAAGTTGACACTGAAGCGCTGCTTGATGCGCCCGGGTTTGCAGCAAGGATTTATGATGATAAGTTAACGTATTGTGTTGCCGACTTCATCATTAATGACATTATTGAGAATCTGATTGATGATACTAGTGAGCATTTAACCGCTTATGTCGCCGAATACATAACGGAAGATATTCTCGACGAGCTATCGGCAGCATACTCCGAATACTTGAAGAAATCGAATGATACGAACGACAGTACGAGCGAGGATGATACACCTAGTAGCTCTGTGAGTACTTCGGACATATCCCAATCAACACCTAGAGCGCGCGACTCAGTAATTTGGAAGCAGTTCATTGATTATGATGACAGTTGTTCGTACGGTTTGCCAGTACCCCGAGTCTACGAACGATCGATTTTCACTTATGTCGATTTTATAGATAATCCCAACTACATTTTGACAGTGCCGAACAAACCAAGCTATGAAAAACTGATAGTCGATAGGGTCAACTTCAATTTAAAACCTAACAATTTTATTAAAGTCGGCGACCGCTGGTTCGAATGCATATCGAATTTGCTGAGATTGCACTCGGCTTGGTTTGCCAACAAAAAATGGGATGTTGAGGTCTTTGAGATTAGTGTGTCTGACGTTTCCCCATCGGCGTTTGAGCTCATCTATGAATGGATGCGCTTTCGTACGCCCATCACTTTATTCAACGCCATTAAAGTGCTGCAGGCATCTAGATTTTTGGAGATTGATATACTTAAAAAAGAATGCTTTAAGCTGATCTCTCAGTCCTATGTGCGGGAGAAAATCGGGTTCAAATTATTTTTGGATGCCGAGCAGAAGCCACTACTGAAAGACGTGCGAGATATCTTATTGGATCGCGTACGTAGCTACTTCTTGCCTTTGGTGGGCAGTGATAAATTCAAAGATCTGAAGATTCGCCATCTGCTGAGCCTGCTAAAGCGCGACACAATCGGTGTTAACTGTGAGGCCGAAGTGTTCTTTGCGGCACTACGTTGGCTGAGCAAATCGGAAAAGCGGCTCAAATACCTTGAGACGGTTATGAGGTGTGTGCGATTCCCTTTTTTGCCAATGCCCCTGCTATTTAGCTTACGCAATATGGGAATGGAGGCGGAGAAGAAGCCCTTTGGCACCACAGAGCGTGTCCTGCAGGAGTTCCAAGCGAATCCGGAATTGAGGCAATGGATACTCGATACAATGACCTGCATTAGCTTGCATGTTCAGAGCCAAAACGATGGCGAAAATATAAACAGGGACGTCGAAGAAAACAAATATTTTCGTACGCGAAACTGGATGTATCATCCCAGGTGCCCGTATCACTTGCAACGCATCAAGTATCCCTATCAGCATTCGTTCACTGAAGACGACTTCGACAAATTTGTACACACTGTACAACTTGAATGGTTAGGCGATTATCCACCGCCGGGTGATATGCAGAGTGTTGAATTTGATAGCATTCTGGTCTATGCGCCTAAGTTGAGACTGGACTAGTAATATGTTATATATATAATATGTACAATATATAAAATGCATATAATAAATATTCGGAAGCTATTTATTTCTTTCATGATATTATGAATATTTTCTAACAATACACCAACATATTCACCAACATATACACCAACAAATATACCAACATATTCACCAACATATACACCAACAAATATAGCAACGAATTCACCAACATATTCACCAACACATACACCAACAAATATACCAACAAATTCACCAAACATATACAAAAACAAATACCCCAAAGTATACATCAACATATACATCAACACTTACATCAAAATATACACCAACATATAAAACACCAAATACCCCAACATGTACACCAACACACACACACACACCAACATAAAGTAAATCATTCAGACTTCGGCATGCTATTTCCTGACGCTATCCAATTATGCAAATACAGCTCTCCCCTCTCATTGCAGCTCTTCGCCTGCCCCAGGCAGCACAGCATAGAGTGACCTGTCAGGCAATTGCTGTCGCAGCAATAGATGAGAGTTCAGCTTTTCCAATTTAGTACTTTTAAATCTAGTCAGTTGCTCAAAACTCAACACCGCAAATAAAATTGGTGTCTTGGCAAATATAACGCATACGCAATGTTGTCGAACGTAATTGCACAGTCCAATAAGACGAATAGCAATTTGAGCAATTACCAAGTGGGACACCAGTGTTACATCTCGTGATAAGTCAACAACATTTTCCACAAAAACTGCACCAGAGTGCTGTCAAAAGCAGCTAATACACAAGCAGTCTTTGAGCCGATAGAGGTTAAGGAGGTGATGGGGGACGACAGAGTTCGAAAGCCCATATCACTGCCCAGCTTGCAGCTAAATGCATGTGTGTCTGCGTAACGGCATATTGACAGTTGATTTTGACTTTAATTGCACAAAAGGCAACTCAAAATCCGTACATTAATTAAGCACTTCAATGGGATTATGCCATTGCCTTTGTCTGTTGTTTGCCTTCGTGGCTGCATTTGAGTTGCTGCATTTGCAAGTTTTCAGCATATGCTCGAATGAACTGAACTAAGACAGTTGATAAAGTTTGTAATATTCTGAGTTTGATAACTTTTAATAAACAAAAAAGGGTTTAGAATACAAGACTCAGAGATGGTCGGATATACTATGGCTTATGTACGGCTTTCTAAGATTAAGGAAGACTGTTGTCATGCTTGCTGAACAAAAAGAAATTTCCCAACATCAAAACGATCTTTTATAAGTCTCTAGCTCTTATATCTTCTGAGATCGACGCGTTCAACCAGACGGACAGACGGACAGGGTTACGTTGACTCAGCTCGTCGCCCTGATCAAGAATATACTTTATGGAGTCTGTCACGCATCCTACTGCCTGTTACATACTTTTAACAAAACCATTATAGCTTGATTTCCTATTTTCAAGGGGTAGAGAGAGAGAGAGAGAGAGGGTGCTCTAGTCAAGACTGCTCGACTAGCAGATACTCTACAGCGTGCAGTGAGCTAATGTGCCACTGATTCTACGGCTCTTCAATGGAGCAGATTTGCTGGTTATTTCCTCTTTGGCCGTTCTTTTGGTAAGTAAACCGACAAGGATGAAATAACCATCAGCCATAAATAAATAATAAACTAGTGTAAATAAATAATAAACAACAAAAATATGTATGTATGTTTGCCAAGGCACATTCATTGCTCCTATTTAAAATAGGTTTGTTTCCAATTTCTGAGAAAAAGCTATCCAAAGTGTGAATTGTTTTGTCTATTCATCAAAGTCCCTTCACTGTCATCAAAGTAGGCTACACAAACTTGAAACATTCATAGAACAGATTTGTAATTCTCAAATGGTTATAGCTTTCACAGAGTGTCAAGGCATCCAGAACGAAGCAATTGACGAAGTTAAAGTTTCTCAAAGAGCGACTTCTTCTTAATGAATTTAGGAAAAATAATAAATACATCCACATTTCCAGTAGGGCACAGGTTTTCTGGTTATTTCATCTTTAGTCGGAGTTCTGGTAAGTAAACCGATAAAGGTGAAATAACCACTAAAATCAATCAATAAGAAACTAGTAAGAGATTGCTCTAGTAGAGACTGCTCGACTAGCAGATGCTCTGTAGCGTGCAGTGAGCTGCTGTGCCACTCATTCTCCGGCTGTGTTTAATAGCGTTGATTTCCTGGTTATTTCATCTTTAGTCGGAGTTCTGGTAAGTAAACCGATAAAGGTGAAATAACCACTAAAATCAATCAATAATAAACTAGTAAGAGAGTGCTCTAGTAGAGACTGCTCGACTGCAGGTACTCTGACTGCTACAAAGAGCAGCTGACTGACGTAGTGCACTCATGGCCAGTGCTCACTGTAGTMTGTCCGCAAAAACTACTATTGTACTGAAGACTCGTTCTTTAACAAATACACACTTAGTTGGATGTATATGTTTGTCGTATCAGTGCGGTATTACACTGTTGTTGAAGTTACTGYGGGATTTCTTGATGCAATAGTGTTGAGAAACACTG